CCCCCAAGTCAGCGCCTCAGAATCAAAAAAATCTTCAAAGATAACTTGGCAGGGCACGTAGACATCCTCGGGCCGAGCAGCTTGGGGGGAGAGGACGAGACCTATTTCGTCATCCGGCGAGCGATGCTCCTTCGAAGCATGCTTCAGAGGAATTTCGGGTTTGGCGAAGGAAAATTCATTGACATGGATTCTGGTGTCCTCAATGCACTGTTGTTCACTCCCCGCGTCCTACATGGTGCTCGTTCCCTCGAGTCGATTCTGTCCATGAGCGAATTGAATCCAGATGACAAAATCAAGAAGGGTGATATCTGCACAGAGGATCAGCGCATGTTGCATGTGAATGACCCGGATTTCAAGGCATACTTGGAAGGCACGAAGTCCGCCCCGGCTACAACACGCAATGAGCAGCATTATGCTTGGATTGAACGAAAATCGGGTAGATCTTACAAGCGCGAGGTCCAGCATTGAAATTGAGATCCCAATTGTGCTATGACGTTCATTGATTTCAGTGTTAGTTCTTACGCAGAATGATTTGATCACATTAGTTACTCTTCTTAGCTACAGACTGCCAGCTGAATTCCGAATCTACAATATTGCAACTGAATTGTTCTTCTGGGTTAATTCTATCCCCCTTTCCCTAAGCTCAAGCTTCCTTAGATACAGCTGCACACTTTTCCATGAAGTAGAACATCTTCATCGACCTGCGTGATCATACCTGTTGAGGGCATTGAAGAGGGAGACTGAAAGGGAAGATATCAGCGTTGAGACATATACTTTTTAAAGGTAAGGTTGTGGTAAGAGATGGTGGTAATAACGAGTTCATTGTTGGAACGGGTTGAATGACATCAACTTGGGTCTCATGTGGTATCTATCAACAAGTCTGTATCATTTCGTTGACCTCTGCATCATGCAGCAGATTGGTCGGATGAGCAATTGCGGTACATAACCTTGGTGGTAGTGTGTCATCTGAGGATATCATTCAATAGCAGTATGCAACAAGTAAACATGAAATGAACAACCCAGGACACCGTTGTTAGCTTCAAAGAACCAAGGCTAGTAGTTCATCACCGGGCCCCCGCCTGGTCCTGGTTTCTCCTCGTAATGATTCCCATCATACCCGCCACCATAATCATCCAAGGACCGATACCCTCCTGGAGGTCCGGCGTCACGGCCACGGCCTCGACCACGGGTGCCACCCCGGTTCTGATGGCCTCTGCCTCGCTGTGATGACCCACGGCCGCGGCCGCGGTATGAGCCACCTCGTCGAGGTCCATCGTCATGGTGATTGCGGTTGTTGCCTCCATACCGCGGGTTATAGTGCGGCCTGCTATGGGGCGGCCCTTCCTGAGTTCCATCTGGATACAGGATTTCTTCATCCCGCTCCTGCTGATGACGCCTCTTGTGGTTTTTATTCAAAAATTGACTCTCCCATTCGCCTTCATTGGGGTTCTCTTCCTCAACACGTAGGACAACCTTCTCTCCGACGACCGTCTCAAAAGTCAAGGCCTTGTCGGCAGGGACAGGATGCCAATTCTGGATCTTACCCGCGTCAATCGGACGAGCGCCTTTGCGCACCGCCAGTACTACCACGGGGTGGGGGTTCTCTGTGTAGTATTTCTCTGTGGCTGGCACAGGCGTCAGGCGCGCAGCCCAGACGCGGTTCTCAAAGCATGCAGTTCCAGTAACCTGCCAGCTCAATTTCTTACCGATGCCACCGACCTTGTCAAGAATGGACCGAGGCGCCGGGCGAGGAGTGATTAGTATACTGTTGGCCATGTACTTCAGATCATTAGAATCAGCATGCCCAAATGGCAGCATGGGGTTCAGAATCTGGCGGATTAGCCGACCCGAATCAGCATTGGAAATCAGATATCCAGTGTAGAAAATAGTCCGCTTGATGCGAAGCTTGCCGTAAGGCGATTTGGCCCGGTTGAGCGACGGATTGCGGATAGTAAGGTTATGAGAGTTGATCATCCGCTGCACTTCAGCAGTCTCCATTACAGGGGCAAGGTACATTGATCCTTCGGCGACCTGAATGACTTCAGAGCCGATGGGCCTTCTTCCACTATTGGGTGCCTGGAACCTGCGGTTTAGTTGCTCGAAATAATCCCGGAAAGCTTTCACACTGGCAGAACATCAGAAGTGTGTCATAAGAAAGGTAGTGGCGAACACGCACTGCTTCACGCGATCTTCATAAACGCGAATCTCTTCGGCCTGGTCGTAAGTGAGAACAAGGTCTTCCAAGAAGGTTTGCTTGAACTCCATGGTAGTGGAGAATCGTTGGCTCCTCGGCCCAACTTCAGGCTTGAGGCAGATGAGATCAAACTCCAGCTTCTTACTGTCCACCATACGCCGGACAAGATCGGAGAAATTACTCTCGCCGCGGCCTGTCAGAAGCACCGTGAGGGCGTCTTTCTGCTCCATACTCAGCTTGACCAATTGGACCTGTAACAGGTCAGTTCTCTGCCAGCCACGCCGAACACAATCACTTATGCCGCACAATCTGCTCGTTCCACCATCCCTCCCAGGCTCGTGGCTCTTCCTTATCGATACCGTCGCCGGTCGCGGCCAGCAAGTTCGGATCGTGCCACCAGCCTCCATTCGCGAAGCTCTCGTAGGCCTGCAGAAACCCGATGGTCGGGCCGTTCCATAGCTGTGGGTTTGGAAGAGGACTCAAGAACACTGGACGGCATTAATTTGACGCTGTCGTTCGCCGGCACCACGGATTATTCTTACAGGTATTATCAAAGTCGTAGACGTGAATAGAACGGATATGGGATACCGCTGATTCGGGAGAGGATCGCCGTTAGCACAGTTGTAGTTATCTCGCAGAGCTAGCTTACCTGGCAGCTCTCTGTTGGCTATGGACCATCGCCTTAAACTTGTGATGGTTCGCGCCGGAGCGTGAGCCTGGACACGCATGGCGGCGGCTGCGTTTTCAGTGACTACAGCCTTCGCAGATCTCATTGTTTATCAATCATAGCAATCAGCAGTGTATCGTTAGTGCATGTCTCTACATAGATGTAGGACTTTTCTTTGGCTACAGCTTGCGACTTGGTGAGTTTGCGGAGATTTCGCCAATGTATGCGGCCGCGAGAGTTGTGATACGGTGGACGCCAGCACCCAGTTTCCCTCCGGCCGAATGGCACGGAATTGTTACACTAACCACACGGCTGGCCACAGTACTCGGATGAAGAACCAGCAGACTAAAGCTACTGACATGGTATGAAGTTAGAAATAATATAACCATTATCTCCCTTGATTAGAGCACTGTTATCAAGTCCACCTATATACCTCATCAAGTTTGCATTTATATTTAATTCTTTGGCTCAAGTCTATGGCAATTTCTAGACACTGCTGAAGTTACACAGTAGTACACCCGTGGCGATAAATAACTCCGTGGCATTTAGTAATCCCCAGTGAATACCTGTTTTGCCACACAGGCACTATCGTCTCCCGTATTGATTCTGCCGACAAAAACTACTACATTCTGGCGGTGAAGCCCACAGCAAAGGCGGTAACGCCAGGAATGACGTCCCAGGCGGTCAGCGATACGCCGCAATGCAACTGCTTCAACTTATCGCTCCATGACACCCATCAACCCGTCCTCAAGCTTCCAACAAGCGGTCGGGTGTCGATCTCATGTCCAATGATGTCGACCTGCAACAGGAAATCCTCCAGCGGACTCTGCAAGAGGTAGCGCACGATGAAGGCGAGCACGACGCTAACCCGTGCGTGATCTGTCTCGAACCCATCTCCGAAGCCGCCATCGCGGTGCCATGTCGCCATGCGAACTTTGACTTTCTGTGTTTGGTGAGCTGGCTGGAACAGCGTCGCAACTGTCCGCTATGTATGTATTCCCACTGGTCTTCCCCAGAAGCATCCTGACTCGATACAGGCAAGAGTGAGATCACATCCGTAAAGTACAACCTCGACAACACCAACGGACCCAAGATCTACCAACTCCCAGCAAGCACAAGTGACACCGCAACCACCTCACACCTACCAACACCCTCACATCACCGTCCACCCCGCCGACCCCGTCGCCCGCGCAGCCCCCGTCCCCACCACCAACAACAACAGTCGTCCACCGACCCCCTCCGCCGCCGACAACACATCTACCGCCACCAACTCTACTCCCTCCGCGTCGGCTCCAACCGTCTCTCCCAGTACCGCGAACTGACCCCGGAGCGCTTCAACCGCGAAGAAGACCTCGTCTCGCGAGCCCGGAAATGGATCCGTCGGGAACTGCAAGTCTTCGAGTTCCTCAACCCAGAGCCAGAGGACCAACGACAAGGCGGAGGAGGAGGAGGGGTTGCGCGGCCCGGCCAACAGAGACTCGAAAGCCGACGCGGAAATAACGCAGAGTTTCTGCTCGAGTATATCATTGCTATCCTACGGACTGTGGATATCAAGGGTAGTGCGGGGCAGGCGGAGGAATTGTTACGGGATTTTCTGGGCAGGGATAATGCCCGGTTGTTTTTGCATGAGTTGCAGGCTTGGTTGAGGAGTCCGTATGTTTCTCTTGAGGATTGGGATCGGCATGTTCAGTATGAGGATACGGTGGGTGGTGGTGCTGGGGGTGGTGGTGGTAATGCTCGTCCTTCGGACTCGCGGAGGGAGAGGGAGGAGAGTAGGACTGCTACGCCGGTGTATCGGGGTGATAGGGGGCTGAGGTTCCCTGGTTCTTCTGGACGGGTGAATAAACCGTCGTACCCTCGGAGAGGGGGTAGGTCGTCTCGCGATGCTGTGGCTCAGGCGAGACGGGTGCAGTATGCTCGGGATCGGTATGTTCCTGATTGAGCTGTAAAGCTCGGGGTATTTGTGTAGTTGTGTGTCATGTACTATAATAGACATATAGAAGCCTCATGTTGATGTATAGTTCAACTGACATGGTATCTCAACAAGAATTATATACTTATGCTATAGTCATTGCTCATATCACGTCCCAGGCAGGCAGACACCACAGGGACAACATTGGGTATCCTCTCCACTGTAATCTATCAATCACATCCCCTCTATCTATACTCATCCACCACCTATCTACCTCCTCCCAAACCGGCCCCCATACCTCCCCTTACTCCCTCTATTCCGCAACTTCAAAGACCGATAATTAGCATGCGCCGCCGGATTAAATTTCCTAGCACGCGGCTGAGTCTGAGTCTTCTCCTTCGTCTTCTCCTTCTTTTTCGTCTCCTTCTCATTATCCACTTGCTGATCTTTCGCCCGCCCCTGCGGTTTATCCGCCTCAATCGCCTCCTTCATCCTCTCCGAGAAGCTCTTACTTCTAGCTGGAGGCTTAGATAATGTCTCTTCATCTTCATCGAAGTCATAGTCGGGATCTAAGTCCGGTTCGGACCCTGAATAGGAATGGAGTGAATTGAGTTCCTCTTCGTCGTCTATATCGTGCGGTTCAGTTCCGGGGATATTGAGGTGTTGTGTTTCGGGGACTATATCCGCATCCGCCTCCTGGGTATCTTCCTCATCGTCTGAAGCGGGTAGCTGGGGCTCTGCTTTCGGTTTCGCGGTAACGGGCTTCATGCGCACTTTGCGGGTAGTTCGTTTCTGGCCCTTCTTTTTGAATGGGCGGTGTTCTTCGGTTGGTGGGTATTGTTGTTGGGTTTGGCTATCTGCGATATCCCCTCCTGCTTGTTGCTGTTGTAGTTGTTCGGCCTCGATTTCATGAAGTATGTCCATGTCATTTTGCATTTGCTCTTCTTCCATGTCGCGGAGGCCTTGGACGAGAGCTGAGAGGCCCTTTCCGACGAATTGGGGTCTCTTGCGCACGGCAATGGGGCTTAGGCCGCCGTCGTCTCCGGGGTGGGTGTTTGGGTTGTAGCGGGTTGCTGGTGCGCGGCGGAGGAAGGATGGGGTTTCTTCGGCGTTGGGTCCGGGTTGTGCTTCTGTTGGTTTTGATGCTGTGTTGTCCGTTCGAATGTACGCTGGGTACCGGGGGCCTTGGTTTTCGTTCTCCATCATTGCGTAGCGCCATGTCGTGGGGGTTGCGAAGAGGGTGGAAAGCATCCATTTCTTGCCTGATGAGGCTGGGGTGCGTGCGCCTCTCGGACTGTCGTCGTCTTCTTCAGGTTCGTCTTCTTCGCCTTCTTCGGCGATCGTGTCGAGCTGTTTCCTTCGTCTTGAGGGTGTCTGGACTGCGTTGTCGCGGAGACTGGCGATACGTGTTGCGGAGGGAGTGGCGGTGCTGCCGCCGGACTCGGAGAGGAGGTCGAAGAGGCCTAGGGCCTTGCCGTCGCGTTGTGGGGTCGGGCCGATGGCTGTCTTTAGGGGTGTTTGATGGGTGCTTGGGCTGAAGAGGCGACGGAGGACAGAGGGAGAGTCGTAGGGATCGACTTCGGAGGGGTGGGAGGTTGTGACAGGGCGGGATTTGGAGGGTGTTTCGAATGCTGCCGCGGCGCCTTTGGAGGCTTTGCGGGGGGTCGATGTGGTGAGAGAAGCTGAGGGGCCGTTTGGGGAGGTGTGTTTGCGTTTCTTGGGCCGTTCTTCTAGTTGGACGGGGTTTTTGTCGGTGGAAGAGGATGTCTCGAGGGCCTTTAGGCGGGAGTATTCTTTGTATTTTGCGGCTGGATTGAGGGGTGATTGTGAGTTGGATGACGGATGGGAAGAGCTGGATAGAGAGTAGTGTTCATACCGATTTCAGGGACCTTCTTGATATCGCTTCGTTCGGCCTTTCTCCCTCCATTGGCGTCCGCAAAAGCTCGCTCCCATTCTTTCAGTTCGGCGCGTAGATTGGCGGATTGGGTTGCCATCTCCGGAGCCATGACGGTCGCCATCATTGCATGTTGGTTGTGATAATAGGTGTATATGGGGTATCGGTAAGAATAGACTGTCGATAAATAGGAATGCAGTCTGCAGAGGTGGTTCAAGGGAGTGAGAGCCGTGCGTCAGGAGTAACTGTAGTAATAGCTAATTGCAGCCCCGGCGGTTGGACCGTCGCGTGCGCGAAATCAATTAACGCGGGTAGCACCCGCGTGTGGAGTGACGTAGCGTGTCTGTCCAATCGGTGTTCTTGACAGCGATAGAGTAGTAGTCACTATCATTTGCCGTCGTCTGCATATAGTGGAGATCTTGAGCGGTCTTTAATTGCCATTTCTATAGTCGGGTGAATTTGAAATCGATTTCTACTGTGTAAGCCACCGCGATCCTTCAGACAAGAGTTAATTTCCATTTTCATATTTGTATGTAGTACGGGTCATTTAATCTGAACAGTAAGGATGCATTTCATCGCTCATTAATCTATTAGTAGTAGTAGTAATAGGGTTTAGTATGAATATATATATCTCGCTATAGGAAATAGGTATTTCACCAACTCGTCAACCCCCGAGCTCTATCGAATCCTCCGCGCAACTGCGTCTCAGGATGTACTACTTTCCCCTCCAGAAGTGTGTACTTGATGAGTCCCTCGCAATGTTCAGGTCTTATTCTGGCCAACCAGATCATCTGCTGCTCCTCCTTCCGATAGATCAGAACGTTGGCCGAAAACTTGTGACCACCCACGTGGGAAACGAAGAATATTCCCACACCACCGGGACGCTCGTCGTTTGCATCACGGTAGAGCCCCAGAGGCCGTAAGTGGCGTTCCAATTCTTTCTTGATTAACGGAGCAGTAATTCCGCAGCGAGCGTCACGTCGCTTATGGGAGCAGAGCAACACCACGTAATCGTATTGGCATGGCCGGGGGTTCAAGTTGGACCCTGGATTAGCGGGAATGGCGCCATTCTGGGATAATGGCGCGTCCATAAAACGAGAGATCACTTCATTGACATCGCTTTGTTTGACGCTATCGATAAAGGTGAACGATGGTAAGAGCAGAACTGTGGTCCCTTGGTTGGTTTCATCGTCGGTTTCTGGGGGTGTCAGATTTGAGGCAGAAATCATGAAGCGCTAGTTGCGATTAACAGGAGCTTTTAAAAGAGGAATTGGGGGTCGGCATACTCCATGCTTAGAGAGATGTGAGGACTCGTCAAAGGCTTGCATTAAAGAACCCTTCTCGTTCTCGACCTTCTCGGTCCAGTCCGATTTACCCGTTGCGACTAGGACATGGGTGTGGAACTCCTTAATATGGCCGTATAGCGGTTTTGTGGTTTCAACCTTCACTTTGGAGGGAAACTGCACAGTGCAGTCGGCGCAATCCCTCTTACAGTCCGGGCCATCTTCTGTCGGATCGACGGTCGGGAAAATGTAGCTGTCGTTGCGGATAAGGCCGCCGCGCGAGAGTAGTGATCGGAACATGATGAATGTCTCGCTAAGTACAGCGGGTGTATGTACGATCGCAAGACCAGAAATTAAGAGAAAGATAGTTCAAGAGTCAAAAATGATACGCAAAACATCAAACTCGTCTGCTTTAATCCTTATATCTTTCTACGGCCGTAAGATTCGGAGATGGCCTTGGGGCGAATATCCCGAGGCCTATCCCCGATCGGAGGAGATGGACATACGAGCCTGAAGTGCCTGCCAGGCATCCTCATTCTTATGCATAGTAAGACTACGGAGTCATGGCGTCTGCTGCCTCCGTCCGTTCACTCCGTTGGAAATCGGTAGTTAAGTACCTCCGTAGTGAAGAGTAAATCTCCAATGAGAGGAGAGAGATTGTCAAAGACGGAAATCCTTCAGCCCACTTCAGGGACCCTTTTTGCCGTGCGTTTCACAAGGTTAGTAGTGATGGCTGTGAGTAGATGGAACCATTACACGAAGCACATGGCTGATCTGCCTTGCTGTCATCTTCAACAATTTCTTCTGCCTATTATACTGCCAAGACCTTGACATCTCTCTCAACGACATTGTTCTACTCTGGCATTCAACTAAATAGATATCATGGAACCGGTGGTGGAATTCACACTCGTAGGTAGTTTTGACTCTCCGACATGGGTCTTTCCCCATCAAGCCTTGTTAAGCTTATAGAAAAGGTTAAGAATAAAAATAAGAAGAAAAGTGCGCCGGAACCCTTGGAACCCCTACCACTAGGCTGAGACAGGCAAGAAGCCAGAGACCCTCTCATAGTTACTTAATACTAGTAGTGAGTTAGTACCAGATACTAGTTCACTTCTTAGTTAATCTGGCTGCTGTCGTGACTCGGATGACTAACAGGATGGAGTCCAACGAGGCGCAGTGACTGGTTGATTTGAACCAGTCTGAGTTTGAGGGTCTGTCTGACTGTCTTACCTCGGTCAGGGGGGGTGGGAGAAGGAAGAAGAGAGTTTTTTTTTCTTCTTTTTTTTCTTCTCATCTTCTTCCCGTCCGATAAATCCCCGCTTAGGGAGTGGCTGCAACCTCAGCAGTCATAATCCATTAAATTCCCACGATTTTCTGAAGACACAACAAGACCATTGGATAAGGTTAAGAGATAACATACAGGGGAATTGATCTCTGCCTAAATCTCCCTGAACCAATACACGGCACATTCGGAGATCGTTAACGATTCAGGGAAGGATTGAAACCTGGCCGGGAGAAGCTGCCCGTTTTGGGGAAGAGGGCCGGTGGGCCAAACACGTAAGCCCAGCGACTCGCTTCTCTTATCTGAACTGCCGCGGCCGACCGACCGACCGACCGAGTGAGAGTCCAGACAGTAAGTGAGCGAGACCAACTGCCACTTGAGTGTGTGTGAGAGAGAGAGAGAGCTTGGTTGTGTTTGTCCGTCCGAGGACACACAAGACTCTACTACCCCCGAGACAAAAAGAACAATCAATATACAACGACTATCAACAGAAGAGGGGCCCAACTAACTAACTCTTTCTTCGCAAGTCACTCCCTTCCCCAGCAGTTGTCTCCGATGAGAAAAAGAAAAAGTATTCATTCCGTTCATTATGGCCGACTTTCATCAGCAGCCTTTGGGGGCCGCTGCTGCTGCTGCTGCTCCTCCCGATCATGAACCCCCGCCCGAGCAGCAACGGGTGAGGAAACGTCGCAGACGCACCATGGCATGTATGCAGTGTCGCAGCAGGAAACTACGCTGCGACCGTGAGTATCCAGTATGCAGTCGTTGTCAGAAGAGCAAGACACCCAATAAATGCACTTATGAGGACGGCTTCCTTTGGCAGCAACCCAATACAGTTGCCTCGCCCGTTTTCTCCGAGCGAGGTCCCACAACCACGGTGCAAATGCCCCAAGCTGATCGGGCGACTGCCCACCCTACCCCGGACTCGGGGATAAGCAGTCTCGCATCTCGGTCTCATCCCTCGCATCCCGTTGAGGAGAAACGTGATAAATTTCTGGAAACCGTCTTGGGTGCCCCCAAGGCCGCCGTCAATCAGGAGCCATATGTCAACACCGACCTCCTCCAGCGCCCCCGTCACCCTCCCGAATCACATCATCATTCCACCTCCCACCCCTACCCCGACGATAACGATGAGACTCCTGCATCGCCGTCGCAGCAATTGGATGTCTCCCCTCGGATCATGATGCGAGGACGAGAGACAAAGACCCGTTTCAATGGATCAGGCATTTTTGCCAACCTTATCGCGCAGGTAAATCTTCCCTTACTTCCTCGTCTCCCCCCAAGCTTGATATCTATTAGGGGCCCCAAATCATAACTTTCAATTGGCCGCATGTTTACGTCTATGTAGTTTCCTGACCTTAGGGCCTTTGCGGAGGAGATCCGTCAAGCCAGTCCGCATCTGTCAGCGTTACGGCCCGACCTAATGAGAGTCAGGAAAGGCGTCTGGAAGAGAAAGCCTCTGAACGAGCCATTTCCCATGCCCACAACAAGTTCCTTGATCACCATGATCCCGTCACGTGCAGTGGTGGACGAGCTTATCTCCTTGTACTGCACCTACATTGAATCCACCCATCGGATCTTTCACATCCCATCATTCCTCAACCAATTGGAAGCGTTTTGGCCGCAGCGAGATCAGCCGGATTTGGTCTCGCCGATTTTTGTGGTGCAGCTCCTCCTGGTGCTTTCGTGTGCATGGAATCTCGCCGATTTCCAGACCCTGCAAATGAAGAATGACGGGCATCTGCAATGCTATACGGCCGTCGAGTGGGTCATGCATGCCGAGAAGTGGATAGAGAACGCGCATATCAAGCGCCCGGAGCTGACCAGTCTCCGCCTGAATACATTGCTGATCATCGCCCTCAATATCCATGGCATGAAACGCAGCCAAGCTTGGCTTGCGACGGGAACGCTAGTCAAGCAAGCCATGATGGCCGGTTATCACCGGGATCCGACTCGATATAGCCGAATCTCCGTCTTCAACATGGAAATGCGCCGAAGGATATGGACGACGATTGTGGAACTCGATCTACAGGTATCTCTTGAACGCGGCATGCCGCCGTCGGTCCAGGAAGCCGATTATGACACGGCTCCGGCACTCAACATCAATGACGACGAGATCCACGAGGACAGCACAGAGCTTCCGGTGGCGAAGCCGTTGGGTGTAATGACTGATTGCTCGTTCCAAGCGGTCCTCGTACAATCTCTTCCGCTGCGGCTCAAGGCCTGCGCGTTAATGCATGCCCCACACATTAGCTGCCGATACGAAGAAATCCTACATTATGACTTTGAGTTGAACCGACACCTTTCTAAGATCCCTACCTGGCCGACATCAGACGTGGACGACTTTCAAACCGCGCACCGCGGAATCCTCATCCGAGCAATGCTGGAAAACAAAATCGGACATTCCCTCTTATCTATACACACGCCGTTCGCCATTGAAGCGCCCAAGGATTCCCTCTTTACACCGTCTGCCCGGGCTCGTTTAGAAGTGGCGTCGATGATTCTATCCACACAACGGCGCTTACGCGAAACCTCGCAACAGCTATCCCTCTGTAACATGGGCGACTGGACCATGCAGGCGTACTGCACTATATGCGAGCTCCTACATCAGGGGCAAATGACCAACGGTAAGCCTAGTCATCCTTATGCCATTGTACTATATGCTGATGCACATCAGGTGCTTCCACCTTCTTAACCCGAACCCTTCCTGGCCTACCCGAATCTCTCATATCCCTGGTGGAAGTGGTCCTTACGTGTCTCGAATCCCGGCTTCTCCTTGTGGTCAAGGGAGCCAAGGAATATTTCTTCATGTCCACGATTGTCGCATTGGTCAAAGTAGGTCTCTGGCCGAGTCAAGCGCAGATTTACAAGCAGGAGGTTGTGGAGAGAGTTATTCTCTTTGCGCAAACCCTGTTTACACGACACGCCAATTGCGCCCATCTCGGCGAATGGGGATTGGGTAACTTCAAGACCAACCAAGTGAGTGTTCCTGTCTACTTTACATTCCAACCAGATGAGTTTTGTACTAACCTGATCGTGATAGGTTCCCAGCTTGAATGCAACCCCTGGATTGGCACCCCCATTTGTTCCCGACGTGAGCATGGCGCATCCGCCCAACTTTGGCATGATGGTTAGTCTATTCCTTATATGCATCTTTGTCACTGGAGCAATGATCTAACAAGACACAGCAGCCACCGGGAGGAGATTTAGATCCATTCCTCGACGCCTTCGACTGGGGCGACCTAACCGGCTTCACGTTGCAGCAATGATGTAAAAATGCCTCTATATAATCATGACGACTGTATGTAACTGTACCAACACCTCCGTGTACACTCAATCCCTGGATTACTGTAATATGTATCATCATTCTGTATGAACACAACATTTTCTATTCCCAGATACGATCGTGATCCCTGACCGATCATCTATTACCATGACGCCACAACACAACAACCGAACAACGATCAGACACAAACAGGATGGCGATCATTGGATACATATACTTTGTATTTATCGATGTCAATAATAAGTCATTGCACACAAAGGCAGAGCCGTCATTCGTCTCCGCGGCAGGGAAAGTGGACCGAGGGATCGACAGCCCGACCGCGATGCAGATCGGATGATATCAGAAGTGGTAAGGATTTTGCCATTGCTGGTCCACAAAATGAGGTTCCTGGAAGACAACTTGTTTGAGGTGTGAGTAAACAATTGACTCCACAGTCAGAGAAAGACCTTCAGAATTGGGGTGAGAGTGTTTGGTCACATGATTAAGGTAAACTGTATTCTATTGCAAGCCTGGTTTATCATATTGGCCGCTGTCCTGAGTAGCCGAAAAAGTCAATTGGTCAGTAGATTACTGACACCATCCAAAAAATTGGAATCGAAGTACTAGAGATGTAATGAGCGCGAAGATAGTTACCGCTGTAGAATTGACTTCAGGCAGTGCTGCGATCCGACCACCAAACCCCGGTAGGCGATGAACTCTCCCATACCCGAAACCATGAACATGAACATTCAATTACCTTACCACCAAACACAGGGCTGAAGATGATCTTCAGGAGATTCTGCCCTTCTATTTCTGTTCGAGTGTTCTACTTTCTCTCAAAGGTTCATTTGTGGCTTTGCATCGCTTTCATCCCCCAAGTTGTTCTACCGAGCAAGAGGCTGAGCGTGGGGGCTAATTGCTTAGCATGATCAACGAACACTATTTATCGCACTAGCTTCACGACTAACATAGAATCGTTCCCCTTACTCCGAACTAAAGTGGTTTGTTCTACTGTGTATGTCCTGCCTCGTTTCTTATCTACGGATGAACGGCTGTCGCTGTCACATGGGAGGGCAGTAAACTGTGTGTGGCTGATGCTCTGTAGATATACCCCACTATGTACTTATCGCAAATGCGGGCTGACAGTGCCAGATGCAGCGGGTTTTTCAACGCCTCTCTTGCGGGGCTATTTCTCGAAGGTGTCAAGTGGAATTATGCAGTTTTGATGCGCCGTGGGGAACATTGACTCTTGCCTGGACTGATATCATGACAGCGGCTGTCACCTTGCCAGACAATGACTTCAGGCAGGATGAATGTAACATGCCATGCAACAATACTATCATCCCGTCCGAGTAGATCCACACCGCATTGATCCAAGTAAGAACCAAAATCATGAGCAGAAGCAGAATTTTCTAGCGTCATGCACTCAAGGGTTCAATACGAGATAGAAAGAAAGACTATGTTTTAGGCAGGCATATTACCTTAGCGGCTGTGGTATCCCCCGTTCGATCTATACGGTATTGACGGTATGAAGACCGTCTCAATGCAGGGTCGTGACCAGCCATGGGTGATCCGGATCTGCAGGGTTCTGACCAATCCGGGCTGCTGATTGGCTAGAGGATAGACATCGGGCGGGTACGGGTAATACAGCCGGTGAGAGCGGTATTGGTATTCCGTGTAAAAGCTTGACTGGGCCTATTCTTGGAACGATTGCCGTCATGGAGACAATCTAGATTTCTCGCCAACTTTGTCGCTGGTGACGTGCTTCGTGGTTATCCCCTCTTCTGCTATCGATCAACTACTCCTCATAATTTCGCTCTATTTGATAGGAGTCCTCGCCATGATGCTCGTTCATTTTCAATCAGATTTCAGGCAGTTAATCTTACTCCCACAGCCTCGTGGGCCAAATCTTAGCGGCCTTTCTGTGCGTCTGCGCTGTCATACAGCTAAGCCTTGTTGGCCCCGTTAGTCCCTTGACTAGCTTCACTTCCGGTCTCTCTCACTGCCAATCATGCTGCCCACGGCACGCTGCCTGGTCTAGCTCTGCGTCCCTATCTGCCTTGTCCTCAATTCCAACACCCTCATCCTTAATGGGGCCGGATCGCTCCGGCCCCATTCCCCTGGATCCTTGTCATTGATATATCCCGATGAGATCCCCTCTGCTGGACGCTGACCCATCATTTCAGTCATTCATGTCAGTTCTGCTATACTAGTACTACTCTTTTCTGTGACTTTTTGAGGACTATTCTCCTCGCGCCACTCCTTTCTGCAGAGATTTTGTTCCACAGCATCATGAAGAGCATCACAATGCTGCCATCTGTGATTTCCGTTTTATTTTTCCTGCTCTATGCAGTGAACGCTGTTCCGCTGGCGCCCCGGGCGAGCGCGCTCGCCGGGATCGACACCAAGTCATTCTCTAAGACCAAAGATTATCCTCTTCCCAACCTGGGCAACATCGTCGCCCATGACCCTAATGTCGTTCAACATGACGGCTATTTTTACTTGTACAAAGGTGGTGTGCACATCCCGATTCACAGAGCCCGCTCCCTCAGTGGGCCTTGGGAACAGGTCGGCACTGTCCTGGACGAGTCCAGCGTGATCCAGAAGCAAAACCGCTCTCGTCCTTGGGCCCCCACCACCATTCAGCACGACAACCGTTTCTACTGCTTCTACGCGATCAGCGAGAACGGCAGTCGCGACAGCGCCATTGGAGTCGCCTCTTCGGATACTCCCGCCGGTGGAAACTGGACGGACCATGGCGCTGTTGTCAACACCGGCAAGGGAGACTTGTCGGACATCTATCCCTACTCGGTCTCCAATGCGATTGACGGCGCATTTATCACAGATCAGGAGACTGGACAGTCTCACCTACTTTACGGGAGCTACTGGCATGGCATCTTCTCGGTGCCTTTGGCTGATGATCTCCTCTCCGTCAAAACCCCGAAGACCCCGAACGCGACCAACCTGGCCTACGTCCCGGACGCCAAGTCGAAGCCTATTGAGGGCTCTTTCATGACTTACAAGGAGCCTTACTACTATCTGTGGTTCAGCCACGGCAAGTGCTGTCACTTTGATATTCACGCATTTCCGCCCATGGGAGACGAGTACGTGCAAACAATCCTTATGAAGAACTTGGTAGCTAACAATCGCAATAGGTACAGCATCCGAGTCGGCAGATCTAAGAGCGCGACAGGTCCTTTTGTGGACAAGGATGGCCATGATACCCTCAAGGGAGGCGGTACCATCGTCTACGGATCCAACCATGGAATTGTCTATGCCCCCGGTGGTGTGGGCGTGTTGATCAACAACGGCAGCGACGCGGATGTCTTGTACTACCATTATCGTACGTTTACAGTCTACAATGGTTGGGGAACTAGCTAACAGAATTTGCAGTCAACACTACATCTGGTTTCGCACAGGGCGTGAGTTCAACCCTAATTTTTTTACTGACAACGATACTAACGCTATACAGGATGCGCACTTGGGATGGAACTATCTGCACTATGTAAACGGATGGCCAGTGGCTGTCGAGGGGTATGTTAATGCCAACAGCAAATAACGCTCAGGCACTAAAGGTGGAAACTCAGTAAATCTAGCATAAACGCTACATCAACCGAAAGCAGTGGTCGGGCTATACAACCGAACCACTCGCTCAATTCACTAGCGCTTCTGTGTATGTGCTGTCTAATCTTGATACTGCTCCCTACCCACTATATTGGCAACAAGCTCATTGTTCTATTCGTTGCGCTAGTCATTGGTGCATTCCTTTGGCTCTACAGTTGAATCTACGCCTCTTCTAGCGTCCACCGATGTCCGCCAAATTGTCTCGCACTGCCCGTTCCTGGCCAAAATGGGGCCAAATCTCAGGGTCCGATCCTGCAGGAACCAACATGGGGCCAACGCATTGCTCGATTGGTATATCTGAAACCAACATGTTGGTTCGAATGCCTCTATGGAGCAACTAACTGCACAGACACGATCCAACCACGCCACAAACATCAGCAGGATCATGGGTCCCATCCACCATCCACATTCAGGGCCGTGCCCGTTGTATACGACGAGGCATCACTGAGCAAAAACAGCACAGAGTGAGCAACCTCATCGGGCGTCCCCACTCGCGGCATCACCGTCGGCGTGGGAGTGAACCCTCCCTGGATGGCCGTGGCCCTATCCAACAACGGTGTCTGAATCGACCCACTACACACCACCGTCAGCGCCACCACCAACAAGCCCCCAAACCAGGGAAGCGAACAAGCGAAATGAAGCAGTAAGAAAAGGGAGCAACACTCACGGCGCAACACAATTAACCCTAATATCCGGCCCCACCTCCTTAGCCACACTCCTGGTCAACCCAACAACCCCATGCTTAGTGGCCGAATACGCAGCATGCAACGCAAAGCCCCTCAGACCCTGAATACTCGCCGCGTTGACAATACTCCCCGTCTTACTCGTCCCCTGAATCGATCTTATCTGGGCCCGCATGCAATACATCACCCCGGACAAATTCACCCTCAACAACATATCCCACTCCGCATCATCCTGCTCCAACAACGAGCCCGTCCCATGCTTACTCCCAATCATGCCCGCCATGTTTGCTGCACCATCGAGCCGACCAAAGTGTCGGACCGTGGCATCGATCCACTCTTCCACCGACGAGCGAGATCCAACATCCACGACTCGGGTGAGAACATTCTCGTCGTTGGCGTTGGGAAGCTGGGCCCGTGCGTGCTGCAGCGCGGAGTCGGATATATCCGCGAGCGAGAGACGAGCTCCTTGGGCGTGCAGTTGGCGTGCCACGGCGAGACCGATCCCTGAGAGGCCGGTTATGGTGTAGACTTTGTCTTTGAATGATGATGACGATGACGACATTATGCTGTTATGATTTGTTGATATGTTTTTGAAATGACTTGTTGATATGATTTCTGTTAATATTATGCTTTGTTCTCAATTATTTCTTTGAATCAGTTCGATAGTTATATGATGGATAGTATACTTCACCTACCCCGCATCGGAGAAGAGGGGGCGTTTATATATCCGTTTCGGAGTGACAGACTCGGGGATACTCCGACCGGGGGATAATAATGAACACATGATAGATCTAGAGTTAGAAGCTACGGTTACATGGAATAGATCAATGACTGTTATTAGTGTGGATTAAATCAACGTGCCAAATCGGCTAAATGGGTAAATGCGAACTATCATGTGAAAATGCTTCGGAGATAGACCAAAGAAGTAGTAGTGTATGGTTTCCATTACCACGCTATTTGATATTGTGCTTTGCTACAACTAGTAGTGTCCTAGTATAAACAACAGTTCACTTTAGTTTCTGTTCAGTAGGTCAACATGAGTAAAGCAACAGCTGATTTCACTATGAATGTGAAGTCGAGTTCAACCACGGATCATCCAGTAACTCCCTCGCCGTCTTCCTCCTCTCAGGTTCCCATTTAATCATTGATCGGATAAACTGAAGGAACATTTCTTGGTTCTTTCCGCTAAGATTCTCCTCGATCTCCTCGAGTGAGGTTGCAGGGACGGTGACTCCGCCTGCGGCTAGCCATTTGCCTATGTATCATTAGCATACTGCAAGAGGACAAATAGGGGTCCGAGGGGAAGAGGTAAAAGAGACTAACCATCATCCGAAAACACATTGCGAGTCTCTCGACTTCGCTCGATAAATGACAACGGTGGCAGGCCAAGAAACCCCACCATCTCAGCTACATGGTGCGATGGCGAGTAGTCCCCGTCTTCGTCGAGAGTATTGAACAGATGTTTGTTTTCGAATAGATCCCATATCTGCGGAAATAACTAATTTAGAACTGTTGTAGATAGATGTTAGTAGGGATATGCTTACCATGACGCCAAGATTCCATATATCGACACTAAACCCCCATTCCATATCGAAGAGCACCTCTGGTGCCTTGTAGATGTTAGGTTGGATGATTCCCCGATGAGATGGTCCGATCCTCGCCTGGCCGAGATCGCAGAGTACGGGCTGGCCCCAGAGCATGTCTCTGGGAAGGCGTAGCTTTCGAGATGTGTAGATTGAACGGGTGCTGTCTATGGTTTTCTTGGGGGTTGGGTTTTGTTTTTCGGATATTTCGAAGTCTGGTAGGATTGAGGGATCGTCTATGCTGAGCATGATGTTTGAGGGTTTGATATCTGTGTTGTTATATGTTATTGCTGATGGCTTTATGATTTTATTGACAATGGGGTAACCTGCCGGTGTGAACAATGTTCGCTTTATTGTGGAGGAAGTCAAGTGCTTGGAGGATGCATTTCAAAGTTTCTTTGAGTAGAAATTCGCTCAGTCTTCGGGAGCTAGAAAGCATTCGTAGATCATGTAGAGACATGTGCATTGGTGGGTGCACTAAACATGGATATGTGCCGTCTGGAGTTGTGATGTTGAAGGCGTCATATAAGCCACGGATATAGGAACCTCCTATATGGGAAGAATTCAACATGCTGAGGTGGTCGTATATCCTCAGCTCTCCAGATAGTGTTCTCAATGAACCGTTCTTGGTTAGGATCTTGACAGCCACGTATCTCTGTTCACTTTACAGAGGTAGGTCAGCAATAGAGGTCATTGTGTAGACTGAGTGGACGTACCTTTCCTCATGGCATAGCCATACGGTCGAGTAAGAGCCATAGCCAAGCTTTCCTACTACTCTGTATCTCGAATGTAGAAGTTTGCCAATGTGTACGGGATAAAATTGTCCTGGTCTGTAGAATGGAAGCTTCGCTTCTTCAAGGAGCTCTTCGGGCTTGTTAGCAAGTGGTTGCGAGCATATTGCACGCTTGCAATTGAAGACTGTTGCTCGTGTTGAGATGAGCTTGTTATACTTGATGAGTGATAGACGACTCCTGATTGTTGAGAAGTACTTTTGTGTCATTGCAAGGATCAAAGAGAGTACGAGGTAGTTGTCAAACGCAAGTCTGCCGGAGTGCGGCTCTAATGAGAGATGCGCCACGTGCGGGAGGTGGAATGTAATGCAAGGCGGAGGATCATCCCTCCTTGCTTCGAGCAATGCACTTTAAACGCTCACTCACTCCACGCTCACTTACATGAGGAATATGAGATTGTTCTATGGATGATGTTTGTTGGATGCTTTGATATCTGCAATATGGACTACTCGGGTAGGGCGTTCCGCAACGATATGGGCTGCGAAAGCGGTATCCTTCTGCTGGTGTCTATTTATGGCACATCTTCAGCACTCTCTCCCTTGGCTAGTTAACATTACCGGACAAACCCTCTCCTCTTCATCTACCTGTGGACTAGTCCATCCGTACAATAACGCTCTTATCATCACGGACTCTATCCCTTCTTTCAGTAAGGACGGGTATCTGCTATACTTCCATCTTCATTCTCATCCTGACATAGAAAGACAAGATTTCTATCGCCATCATCAGGATGCCTCCTTCGAACCAAAGAAGCACCGAGCTCAGTATCAGAGTTGCTCGGACTCAGGGCAACGAATCTGAGCCTCAAGCATTGCCCACCACTCCCCAGCAACTTTTACAGCTGATTAGACGCCGTATAGTCGAAGCTGAGGGACCCGAGTATTTCGAATACCAACAGGTTTCGCCTGAAGCCGGGTCCTTTGTGGTACGAAGCTTCTCCAGGGATGGCAATGTGGAACGAGCAAACCCAACCATGAGCTACAATACACTAGACAGGGTGCTCTCGGTGACCATGTCAAGCATGACCCACGGCAGCGCGTTTCTTTGGGGAGTAACTGAAATGATTGACAGCCTTAGCCAAAGATACTTCACCAGGAACGAGTTCAGGTATCTAATGATGGGTGGGAATGACGGTGGGAAATCTGATTATTACGTCTATGATTATGCTATGGACTGAATATCACTAATAAATCTACGTGCATGCAGGCTTCTTCAACTTTCCCGCGCCGTGGGCCGCTGGCAGCTATAAAGAACCCGATTTCCACATCATCCACCCTAACACATTGCTGCCTACAGTGGTTATTGAATGTGGATACTACAATGAAAGCAATACCAAGCTGCAATGTGATAAAGATCTTTGGATGCTGGGCGGAGCACCGCATGTTAATGTCGTCATCCTCATAAAGTGGGATAAAGAGCCGGATAGTAACCGCGTATCTGGGTGGATCGAATTGCATCGCCGCGGGGATAATGGTGCCGCTATACGCAGGGTAAGTGTTATTGATTTTGGTTTCATTCTCAAAGCGATCATAAGTCACATATCTTATTGGCTGTCTATGCGATGACTGACTACACCTGTTCGACTCTATAGGACATCTTCCCAGCTCCTGCTCCTGGAACGCCTTGGGAGAGCGAGACCATCACCTTGTACAGAAGCGACTTTTATTCGGGAGGCGAAATACCGCCTAGAAGGAATAGAAACGATATCTGGCTATGGAGCTTGGACCGTCTGAGAGACATTGCAGGGCAGAGAATGGCCATTGAGGGACTTGTTCCAGCTTAGCAGCTTGGAGTTTTGGCCTGCAGCGGTGCATGGGTAAGGCGACACGAGGAGGCTCTCGTCCGAGTACACGAACGCTACGGATCATCCCATCTCTTGTCTATCTTGTCTAAACTTGCTTTACAAACATCTAAATTTGCTTTACAAACTCCATGGCGAGATCAATCTGGACTTTCAGGTTAGATGTCTATACAAGTCCCAAATATGGGCCAGTAGAAGATATGATATAGAATTGAATCGAATCGAATATCTAATGTAGCCAAATATCTCATACAAGAGCAAGCAAGAGACGTGAAGCTCTACACACCCTATACCTGAGACGCTTAATAAAGCCTATAGCCCAAAGTACGAACGGCGAACAAGGCAATCATACAAGCCCTCACCTACACCTCACCTTGCGCTCGCCCACCATTCAGTCGCGCCTCACCATAACTCTAGAAGGCATGAGTGTTCTGAGGTTCTAGGAACACAACAGATACTTGGAAGTCTAGATATCCTCAACATCTCGCAGTGTCAACGATGATAAGAAAAGGATTTTGTACCAGGTTTATTTTACAGAGGAACGTGTTGAGAGTCTTGACGGGATAAAGACAATATAGTGAGGTGTACAGTATCAATTTAAAATACTGGGTTGAACCAGTCAATTCACATTGATTTCTAACGACAGAAAAAAGAGTTTTATATGAGAGGCTCAAACTGTAAACCCTCAGAAAAAGTATGCTTGGAGATAACCTTCCACAAGTGTAGCCACCGTAAGGTAAAAGCCAGCTTTGATGTTAAATCTAAACACACGTCCCCCAGACGCGCAGTCTTTGAGATCCAAGAGAGATATGCTCCGTATCATACCTGCAATCCATACTCCGATACCAAAAATCCAGTAGAATAGGGAGAGTCTGCTCAGAAAAGCAGCCGCCACGAACAATGCGATAGAAACAACAGCAACGAGCGCAAGAAACACCCGGACACGCTGTCCCAGGAACACCGCAAGCGACCGGACTCCGCATTTCGCATCATCGACCATATCTTGGACAGCGTAGGCAGTGTCGAGGAAGATAATCCAGCAGACAGTTGCGCCGAACAGAGCTAGAACTGACCCGTTGAATTCAATATCTCCTTTCACAGAAACATACCCTGGCATCACACCACTGGCAATAGAGAGGCCCACCACAAGCTGAGGGAAGGGCATGACCCGCTTCATAAAGGGATAGATCAAGCCCAGTAGCCACGCAGGTGTGGTGCACAGAGCTGCTTGAAATCCTAGTGTATACCACGTAGTTCCCACGGTGAGAAGTATCCAACAGAGGAAGAAGAAAGTAGCTTCTTTGACAGAAATGAGTCTAGACGGGAGTGGTCTGCTTTTGCATCGTTCGACTTGTTTATCATATTCGACATCACAGATATCGCTGCTCAAGTCTTTTAGTAGCTCCTTGTATAGCACATACTGGAGAGGGATATGCTCACTTCCAAGTACAAAACGCAGCATGAGAGACCGTTGCACTTGCCCAAATGCCAAACAAAACCCAGGCAAATGACCATCCATCCGTCCTTCCTGACTTCGCACCAATACTGGCACCCCACACGGCTGGAAAGACAGACAGCCAGGTTTCGTGTGTATGGAGACGACCCATTTCCCAAATAGCGCGGATGCGCTTGCGTGTGTGGTCATCCAGCATATCGGTCTCTGGGATCAGCTTTCCTGCGACATCCATGATGGTTCGTTCACGGCGTCAAGTAGAGTGAAGTAACAGAATTATTGTAATAATAAGCACAGTCGCTGTTTGGAATTGTTCAATATAAATTGCCATGGTCATCTGTCAGCAAGACGTTTATGTAGTAGTAAACGGTGTGGGGTATCTTTTTTGCCCGAGGAGATACTCCGGTAGATCATCCATGCCCTGCCATGCCATGCTTATGCCTGCATCTAGATCATACTACGTATATTACTAAACCTTGACAGGCTAGCAGGACTCAGCTCAGCGCTTAAAGCGCTGCAGATCCGACGGGCCCGTAAGGCATGTCAGATAGTAGTGTGGATATGGAGAGGAGTGATGTATTGATTTTTCCTATCTTTGTAAATGATGTCTTTCACGCTAACTTGGAATCTTAGAAAAAGAAATAAAATCCCTTCCCCTCCATCACCATCATCCTTCCGAAGTGATGCTCCGTGTCAGCGTATTCAGCCAGACTTCGCATTGAGAGAATCTCCCAACTTCCCCCTCACGCCTGCATGCAGCTCATCCTGCAAGATACCTGGCACTGGTGACTGGCGACTACAGCTTGTTGGCTCACCTCGACAGTAAGCTCTCTACCCCTGCACTGTCAATGAAGTGGGGATAAAGTACACGCCAGATTAGCGCGAAGTTGCTAGTCCATGATGGTGATCCCATTTGTCTTGTGGAGAGTGATTAGGTTTGCTGCTATGATTATTGTGCCATATTCCGTACTTGACCAGACTACATGTGGAAGTAATCTACACGAGGCTGAGCGGCTGGGTGTTGTTACTAGGTGCTCCTCAAGTGGTTTTGGTTTGATTAGAGAAAGGGGGGTCCTCCTAAATCATACTATATAGCAGAGTATCCATGGTTTGCACCAGCTGGGCCAGTGGCCAGCTACTATCGCCCTAGCAACATGGAAGCGAGAAGTCTCACGATGACGAACAATCAATCGCCTTACCACCCGCAACATAAAACTCCACTCTCGAAGCGTTACTTCCCCTTGCAGAAAGATTGGCCTTGCATGAATCGACAACACCACTATCATCCCAACTGAAACTCACGATACCACCGCCCCGCAACCGCAGTCCATCAACACTCCCACCTCCCCAAGCAGCCGGAATAGCGGGCCCAAGAAGTACAGCCTGCGCCTTACCGGCACGAGCATCCGCATTGGACCGGTCTAAATCCCGAATAAGCATCTGAACCATCGCTCCCACAAGTCCGAAGTTAGCATCGATCTGGAATGGTGGTGATCCGGAGTACATGTCGAATCCGTTATCTGCGAAGTTGTCTTGAATTGCGAGCGACAACTCCGAGTATGCTTCGTCGGTGACGTTAAGCAGCGCCCAGCACGCACTACGCCATACCTTGGCCCAGCCGGTATTGGAGTCTTCGACGCCGGTGCCGCGGGAGTAGAGGGTGGTTTCGACGGCGTCGGTGATGGTTTTGTTGGATCCGTGCACGGAGGAGATTATGTATCCTGGGTACCAGCCGTAGAGGTTAGAGAGGTGGCGGTGGGTGTCATTTTTGACGTCAATGTCGAGCTTCCATTCTTGGATTTGGCCCCATGAGCCGATGTGGATGCCTGGGTCTAGGGTGGAGAATTTGGAGGTGATGGCGGTTTTGAAGGAGGTGTCATCGTCACCGGACGCGGTCCAGCCTTGCAGGACGTGGTCGAATACTTCCCAGATTAGTTGTTGGTAGTGGGTGCAGCCGAAGGTCTGGGGCGTTAGCTGGGTGTCTGGTAAGGGTTCGTTGGGCACTTACTGTAGGTCCATGCTCGGGTGAATTGCAAGGGTTTACCACTAGAGTGCCGTCTTTGAAGTACTCGTCTTTTACGAGTTGAGAGAGCCAGAACTGCGCTGCTCCTTTGAGAATGGGATATCCTGTTTCGCGATACCAAGCACTATCCTGTGAATAGTCGAAGTGGTCCCATACGTGATGTGACATCCAGGCATTTGTGGCAGGGTAGTCGGCCCACTGTGCGACATCTTTCATGCTACTTTGGTCAGTGTTGCGACTTCCACGCTGTTAATGTACTGCTAATGTACTCACGCTGTATGTCCAAATGTGTTCATCTCATCGTGCGTCACCCAACCTTCCGAGGTGCCATACAACAACTCTGCTGTCTCTGCGCCTCGAGGCATCCAAGTCTCAGCCATGTATGTCCAGAGTGGCTCAGTCAGCTTTCCTAACCCTGTTTGCTCAACGGCCCAGTGATTCATCTGTAGGTTGATGTTGGCATGATAGTCCCCGCTCCAGGCCGGAGAATAGGACTCTGTCCAGAGACCCTGCAAGTTAGGCGGCAGAGACCCCGGCCGCGAGCTTGATATGAAAAGGTACCGACCGTAGTCGAAGAGCAAATTCTCCACGTAGGGATCCCCGGGCTGGCTGTAAGACGACAGAAGCTCGGTAGTTGGACGGTCGGCCGAGCCATTGGGATCTGGGAGGGTTAGTGTAAATTCATTGAAGACGCCTTGGTAATCTTTGATGTGAGATGATTTGAGTGCAGAGTAAGACTTTTTGGCAGCATTGGTAGCAGCTTGGAGTACTTTCGTGTACGGGTTCTCCCCTCTGAACGAAAAGCTAGCTTTCGAATTCCCGTTGGAGGCATCATAATTGGTGTCAGCAGCAAATACAAGGAACACCTCCTTCTCTCCCTCTGGCACTTTCACGGTTGATGAGGAGCAGAGATCAGATGTATTGCTTGACCCGGGAACGACAACAGTCACCCTGGCGTTGTAAATCATCCCGATAACGGGATACGTCTGACCATATAGGCTGATGCTATTCCCATGGCAGCTGACATTCGGGGCAGGCGACGTGAGCTGATTCTCCAGGCCAAATGTAATACCAGGCATTGACGAATTTGAGCTGAGTTTGTAAACGCAAACATTATCTGGATACGAGCAGAATGCTTCCCTGGTATCTGTTAACGATCGATCCGTGGAACCGTTGAGGCTGCTTACCTTTCGATGTAAGTCTCGCCGGTGCTGAAATGATCCGAGTAAACAGCCGAACTCAGGTCCAAATTCCGACGATATCCATCAATATCACTCAGTTCGCCCAGGTCGATGGTCAAGTTTGCCAACACCTGATACGAACCGTAGTACGGATACTCGCCCAGCAGCGCAGAGACATTGCCTGTCCCATTCTGGAATATCCATTCCCTAATGCCAGGAAGTGCACCTGCCTTGGAAACGTTTGGATTTCCTCCGGAGTATGTCTATATCGCTCTCAGTAAATATTTAGCCTCGAAGGCTGTTGACGCGGGTAGTATACGCTCCACGTACCGGACTTTCAAAAGGCCCTCCGCGCTACAACGAGTCGACATTAAGATTTACGATCTCCTTGTCGTATGAACCCATAGGCATAGCTTATATGAAATTCAGTATCCGATCGTGATAATCCCCTCGTGTCTCGTCAAATGAACATACCTCCCAATCGTCCATTTCCTAGCGGAAATGCAGTGCTTATGAAGCTACTGTAATCTCCCGGAGAATCAGACCATAACGACTTGGCTGCCGCGAAAGGCAAAGCCAATGCCCAAAGGGCTGCCGATGATCCACAGATGAGCATTCTGCGTGAGCTGGATGCTTGGAGTCGAAGGCTGAAGTGCAGCGGAGAAGGGGAAAGGGGACCATTTTATCGCCGCCGCGGGTTAACCCAGCGTATGATTGATGAGATGATCACACTGTCGAATGATGGGGAATGAGCAGAGAACAATTCTACTAGCTGCAGCTACCTACATTAAAACCGAGGTATACTGTGCCTCTATTGGAGGGATTTCTCAGGAGAATAGGAACCGACCGCAGTAGTCCCGTTAGCCTGCAGATCGGCGAAACCGGCTTCCGATAGAAGCTTGCATTTCGCAGGACTGGACGAGTGTTCTACGAGAGAATGATGCGGGGATTCGGTGGTATGATTGCGATTGATTGATTAATTTGAGGGAGGATCAAAGAGAGGTAAGCTTGAAACGGGGACGGGGACCGTGTGACCCGGTGTATATAGCCTAAATATTACGTCTAAGCAATGAGCGCTATACTAGTGCCAAAATAGTCCGTAAATAAGAACAAAATCCCGAATGAGCATCATCTACAATTTACTCTTCGCCGCCGCCTCGTTGGCCTTTTGCCACATCCGAATCCGGCGCTCATGCCCAGCATTGAACAAATCCAACCACTCCTGTTCAAAGGGAGGTAGGACACGCCCCGGCTCACCTGCCTTGGGGTTACCCGCCAATTGGCGCAGGGTCTCGAAATATTCCCGGAAATCCGGGTTGATGACACTGAACGCAGGTCCATCACCCTTCTTTGCAATACGATCTTGTTCCCATTTCTGCTGCTCCTCCAAGGGTGGCAATTGGGCCTTGCCAGCCAGGACCCGCGCTGCAGCCACTGCCTGCCATTCGAAGATCTTGAAAGTCAATCCGGCGCCAACCTGGTTCGAATATTAGCTCGAGTCGTTCGATACGGGAAAAGACGAGCATGAGTACATACCGCTCCCAAGAATGCCAGCGTTGGATCGTTCTGGTGGAAGACGTGCAGGTATAGATCCGGGATTCGGTTATTTCTGGTCGGGATTTCCGGCAGGTAGGGCAATGCCCAGGTGAAGCCCGTTCCGAAGATGATATAGTCCACATCCGAGACCGAGGTCCCATCTTCGAAGTACACCGTCCTCTGCCCGTTGTCACTGGAAACGCGCGAAATGGGTGGTTTGCGATCGATTGACGGGTGTCTAAACGCATAATCCCCAAAATAAGGATTATACCGACCCCGGACCACAGCGTGGATGGGGGATTGCGCAGAGCCGATCAGGCTGACTGCTCTATCTGCCGCAGACACCGAAGCTCCAACGGTGACGACTTTCTATACATTGTTAACACCAATTGTTGAATTGGAGTTGAGATAGCTCCATACCTTTCCGCGATAGCGTTCGGGACCACGATACTGCTTCGTGTGCAACACGCTCTCTGGGTCTTTGTCGATCCATTCTTTCAGGCCGGGAATAGAGGGGATATAAGGCACAGAAAAGTGCCCCGAGGCAACCACCAGTGCATCAAACGTCTCACTCCACCAGTAGTCATACCCACCCGGCTTGCCAGCCCGCCGCAAGACCAGTTCCCATTTACCGGTCTTGGGGTTTTTGACCGCACGTTCCACGGTCGTGTTGTATTCTACAAGATCTTGATAACCATTGCGGTTCAGAAGATCCTCAACATACTGCCGAATCACGGTATGGTGACGGAAAGGGGTGTCTGGCCCATGCACCGCGATTGACATCTCCGAGCGGATTGTCGGGATTGACTCTTGGGAATACTCCATGGTCGCAACATCCACATTGGTATGCAAGTTCGGGTAGATATGGGAGTCAGTAAAGCGATGCTGGGTCAATGCTGGTGTGAACGCAGGCAAATCGGACGGAACTGGGATAGGAGCATCCGCTGTCCTTGTTGATAGCTTATCGACATCCAAAGGCACCTGTTTCTCGTCTCGCGAAACCCTAGTGTCGATTAACTATCGGTCGCGTAAACCAGCAAAGAATTGCTCCCAAAACCTCTGGTAGCAGTTGTATAGACATACCAGCACCCACCGGCTTTTTCCTGTCTCTCGAATACGCGCACCCGGTCAAATGCTTTCTCCTGCATCAGGGCGTCCACGGCAATGGCGCCCGCAGGCCCCGTGCCAATGACAGCCACGCTTTTGATTGGAGACATTTCGACGCAAGCTCTAACGCGTCGGTGGTATGCAAACCGATGTTCTATAGCTCAAGGAATTGCACACCCTCAGGGTTGGTGGTTGAGGTTATCCTGGATTGCAAGGGGTCAGTTTCTGAGTTGTTCTAGCCAGCTATCTTGATGCCAATCATAGCGCGGATGGCGTCAGCGGAGCCCAGTAATACACCGACATGGGCGCGGGTGATCATCCAGCCCATTTCTATGCAGGAATATAGTACTCACAGAAGCTTCTGTCCCTAATCTATGTTTCTGCGGCCTATCAACGACGAGACCTAACCATTGCGGTTCCGAAGCACGGTTCACTTTGCGTTTATCTCATTTTTCTTCATTCTCGACGCTGACTGGTTCATCTCAGCCTCCCGTCACGTGGCTGGAGTTAGTCAGTTGTATAAGCACTACCATTGGCCAGCGTTACACCTAACCGGTTCCTTTCCATGCATCACGACCAATCAGCTTGTGGCATCGGTTGGAGTCTCTCAGTATCCAACTGCAATTGTGATGGTATTCATCGAGTTCGGAAAGACTCCGAAACACTCTGAGTAGCGGTTCTTGGATCACAGCTCAACTTGCCGTATCGGGGGATGCGGAGTAATATGAACGAATGCTCTTTCATCCTCATACTGGACTCTCATGTTGAGTGAAAGCTTGATTATTTGGTGTACTCATTAGGTCGCAGAATAGCGAAGCTGGCATCCACAACCCTCAATTGGGTCAGCAACTCTCCTTATTGTAGTATACCACGCTATTTTCGGCTCAGGTCATGGAACCCTCTCATACAACCGTTCAGATGCGTCAAGATCGTTGTGACTCTGACGAAGCCTGCTGCGAGTATGTCTGGCCATACCTGAAGAAAGACATGCATAAAGTCCAGCGATAACTGCGCAGTGTGTCGCGTGCCGTCTACTGCACGGCTCTCGAGTCGAACAGTCTTATGCCCTCGTGGTGAGTTGCTTTTTAATTATCGCGTACTTGAAACGTGCAGAAGGTACCTCCGAGTTCGACTACTTTGAGGAAGTTTTATCATCAAAAGCCCCAATATCTGCTAAACAACTACAACTCGCATAAGGTCCTTTGACGAAATGACTCACATGTGTCGAAAGCTCGTGAATCCCGTCTACGATCACACCATCGCAAGCCTCTCCGAAGTTTCCAGGAGGAGGTTATCCAGGCCCGAAGAAGGAATCACACTTATGCACTGTTGCGCTGATTCCTCTGATTACCCAAGCAATCTGGTCTAGTTGGTTGCATTCATTACGTCAGAATGGTCTTTTTCCAGTGCACCTGAAACATCTGTGGGCCTTGGGGTAATCCCGGGGCCTAAAAATTGGACTTGAGCGATATCGCACTTTCCCCCAAGGGAGCGTGTCTCCAGTGATGTCTGGAGGGCTTGCATTGCCAAGATCACACTTGTTTCCCAAGTATCACCAGTCAAGGTGCGTTTCATGCTTTACTTTCGCTCTGGTAGGGTTGCTTGCGTAAGCGCCTGTGGTGGTCATGCCCTTGTATGCTATGACCCATGTTGCACCATACTCGAATGCATCTACTGATAGAATGAGTTTCAGAAAAACCGGGTTCGAGGCATGGGTACTCCATTTGACCCTTTCCGCTGGAAAGATCACGAAAATCAGTGATATTAGTCTAGTCAATATATCCTTGGATATTGGTTAGAACTGCTGTGCTAGTTGGCGAGAATGCACAGTCAATCTTTCTATGTAGTGATAGCCATCTCTAAGCAGGCTTATGTACAGGCTTCAACAATGTAAGACCAGCATTATAAAGACTTGGTTACACGCGTTTGTGACAGGATTTCGCTTGGTTGGTGGCTATCGCGTCCACCGGGGCATGCCAATCTGTCAGGTGGGAGCCTGACCATTAGTCGTAATTTTTTTACAGAGCCATATATCAGAAAGCAAAGAGAGGAACCCCTCGAGGGTAAACAATCGTGAATATGGCGACCAAATCCCACTAAGATCCCATACTATCCCTGCAGCCCCCGCCCCTATATCAGAGCAAGCCCAATTATGGATGGATTGGCTATTAATTTCGGATAGTGTTAGTAGCAGAGAATTTGGCATGTAGAGCCCAGACATTATTACTTACAATCGCAACTGGTACATTAAGATTGCCTTTTCCATCGTCTATGTAACTATGGTCGTGGTTGTCATGGTTATCCATGAGATGAATACCGCTCAGGAGTTGGTAGTTGTTTGTTATACCCGGAAGGGCTGCTCCAAAGGCGACGGACAAGAAGGCCACGGCAATGAAGAGGGATCGCATTGTTTCCTGTCAAATGAATATTACAGATGGAGCTTCACAATGTAACCGCAAGGCAGAGAGTGTGTAGGTGTGGATGTGGAGACTGGCATCGACTTCAACGAGACGGGTTTGAATAATGATATAAGCTAATAAATAGTGGTTATTGCCAATTCTTAAATAAGTCTTTGCAGTTTGGATAAACTTGGGCGGAATAGGCAATCTTCTTTTTCCTTGTTCTGCCGTTTCATTGCCAATATCCGACGCCAAGTCTAATAAATCGAAACAGCGGCCGAAAGCGTGCATGTATATGTGATATAGCAGATTATATGCACCTCAGCCTCATGAAAAGGTTTTGATTGGATTGATTCCGTATCAGATTCTTCGGCCATCTCTGTATTACTGTGTACAACTAGTGACGCGCTATCGCGGGATATTTCTCATCCGTTTCTGGCGACAAGACTCTGGTTCTCAGCTTCGCAATACGATTGCTTATGGCCAAATGTAGACCAGCCCTGGAGGAAAAGGTCCTTCGTTTGTAGAGTGCATACCGCCTTCTAATGACAGCTAAATACGAGTTGAGAGCAGTTGTCAAGAGCTCACCTGCATGTAGACAAAAGTCAGACTTGATACGACATCACTTATGCCAGGGGCAGAACCTTTTTTAAGGAATGTTCGTCGGCTAGATAGGTCATACTGTAAGGGCTTTGCCATTATCAGATTTTGAGAGATGAATGCATGGTCTCCTCCTCTATTACCATTCGGGATTGATTGCTACATACAGTAGCTTGTCTGTACGCTTGGTACAATAGCACGCCACTTATACCCACCTTGCTTGTTGATGCCATTAGACCTCCCGATCAGGGAACCGATGTCTCCCGAAGACCACGATCTCTATTAATGAGTTATGTCAGTAACACTATCGATGCTAATCCCGTGAAGAAAGACCCAATAAGTTACCCTCTTTGACGACTACCAAAAGAATTAAACCAGTAATGTAACTTCTATTTAATATACCACCACTAGCCGCTTTATGAATCTCCTTTGAAATGCAGCGTGCAGGAGAAAGCTTGTGCGTTCGACCAAGCGTCACAATTCTCTCAGTATGTTCAAGGCTATGATCCTTTTATTTGCTTCTATGCCGCTGGTTCTAGCTACATTATCCCAGCAACAGGCAGCAGGCCATTGCATAGTGAGATTCTTGTGCCCCTTTGCGCTACCTTTCGTGATAAATAATTGATTAATCCTGGATTAATTACTATTGCAGCATAATTCCTTCATGGAAGCCGGCGCAAAGGTCCACTGCCCGATGGCATATGGGACTGAACTTGACCGTGACTGCATTTGTGTCATAAAGGCAGTTGAGTTCCACGTCGAATCTGCCGTGTTACTTAGGGAGAACTGTTCCCCGGGGGTTGTAGACAGTATGTGACACGTCTACCAATTGATAAGCTCATTTGGCGAACGGAATAAACTAACCATTCCCGTATTTGCTATTGATTCGACAGGAGCTCTGAAGTATCTTGATCGAGTATGCTTGATTCATGTCGAAAACGACTTGCATAATCTCATTGAACAATAGCCACAGTCCTCGTTGAGAACAGTTTTCATAGCTCATACAGTAAACACAAGCCTGGGGCAATGATTATCATTTCCTGCTTCTTTCCCAATCATTGGATCAGCTAGTTCTGGTGAGGCTCAGGATTAATAAGCAGTATATATTGAACGAAATCGATTACCACTTCAAAGCTATTCCCTACTATGAGGTGGTTATAATCAGTGTAACCGTTGAAATTCAGCCAATATTAAATGTTCACAGGATATTGAATGATCGAAGTAAGGGGATAGCCCTGCAGGCGTCATATGATCTCTCAGATACTTACTCGGCGGAATTTTGAAGGCTGTGTAGGCGCAATAATCTCTATTTAGGAGGATGCTGAATGCTAAGGCAAATCAAACCATCGGAATTAGCACGCTGCTGTTATTTCTGAGACTTAGTGTTCTGTTACATCTTCAATTTTCACTTATTTCTTTGAGGAGCTGTTCCAGGATGCATAGTCCACCTGAGTACTATCCATTGTCCAGCGACGAGTCCAAGCGGCTCACAGGCGATGAAGTGGACGATCAGGTGCTACCCCATGCAAGAAAACCGTATCCATGTATATGGTTCCTCCACATTATGATCTTCTCCTTGTGCATATGTATAGCGGTGTCGGGATGGATATGGCACCCAGTCCCTACCGACCTTGATTGTGCCAAGAAGCTTTCGCCGTACTGTAAGTTGTGTCCTCATCTATTTCTTTGTATTTCGGGTTACTTACTTGCTTGAGAAAAGCACCCTTAGTTGGTCTTGTTGAGTACGAGGATGTAAGGTTTCAAGGTGATTTGCATGATGTGAACCCATGGAAAGGAGCACCCAGCCCAGCTCTGGATGAGGCATGGGAGAACATCACACACAGTAGGCTAAAATCCCAGCTAATATCAGTGTGTACATTAAAGTAGTACAGTGTGGACTATCCAAGTCTCTGCGGATGACATGCTTCGCATGAAGAAGCCATTGACTCAAGTCAAAGCTCCCCCAGCTCTTGGTGACGGTTATGTTGGTGGGATTGAAGTATTTCACCAGGTATGATCATTAGTCGCTAACCATGCTTGTTTCTTAACAATCTTGCTGACTTCCATAGCTCCATTGCTTGAATCTTGTCCGGCAATACACTTATTACGATTACTACATGCAGCCTGAAAATCAACCACTCTCGTTTCGTTCCTCACCAGGGATGATCCGCGCGCACACTGGTAAGCTGTCTATACGTTATTAACGACATGCCTAACATGCAGCAGATCATTGCATAGACATACTAAGGCAGGTGGTTCAGTGTAACGGGGACGCTGGAGTCTTGACAAGGAGTTGGGTTAAGGGAAACAATAAATCACAACCTGACTTTGGCACCTGGCACAAATGCCGCAAGATTCAGCCTTTATAGACTATCAAGAAAAGGCTGTACTGGACTATGAGCCTGTGAAGCCCTTGGATGCTTTTGAACTCGATGAGGCACCGTGCAAGAACGTTCCAATAGAGCAGGAATGTCCTTAGCTGTGACATCTGGCTTGTTGTCCTTATCAGTCTTATCAGTCAATCGTGGTGAGCATCATGTGAGATGAAACAGCGTTTGTACAATAGAATGTTTTTGTAAAGTGCGATATAAGTATTTCTACGGGGTGAGTATTCGGGATTCCCCGTACCACACACTCAGAATACCTGATTGAGCTTTGCCTATATGGGCAGAAGCATTCGCCAAACAACAGAGCACGTCATAGTCTATTACTAGAGTGGGACTGAAAATAGTTATTCTTTATTCCTAGAGGACAGAACTAAGCGACGTCGAAGTCACAATGACAAACAGAACCAAGCTTCACGGCAATTTCCTCGAATATGGTATACTTCCGATCCAGTAGGAGGTCAGAGAGATTACATCGAATACCACAGTCCTGTCTCTCCACACTCTTGCTTTCTAGTTTATTATCAGTCTCGAGGTTCCATAGAGTGGTGCTTGATCCTCAATACTTACTTTAGCTCAATCCTTAGTATTCGGAGACTTGCCATCAAGGATGGATAGTGCTAGAGGTACTATTCTACGCAGCTGGATCGGGCGGGTCTGAATAGGCACCCCCAGTCTCCGTGTCTTGGGATAAATCGTAGTGCTGCTGGGCTCTCTTGCCATGTCTTTCGTGCTGTCCTGGGCTCAAGGTCCCTCCACCCTGCCGTCTAAGACTCGAATCAGATTGAATTCATTATATCTATGAACTCAGGGATTTCAACACATTTGCGGCTCACCCTTCTGCCATAGCAGCATTCACGGATAGTACAGCGGCAAAAATGAACAGAAAAGTTTGTAGAAGCTTCATCTTGTCCGGTGGTTGTCTATGAAGGAGATAAAGCTAAACGCTGCCTGGAGGTCTGTCTGTGGACAAGAGGGAGAGGAACAGAGGCTCGAACGCATAGACAGGGTGTGGTGAATATAAATAGTTGTAGAACCTGTTGAACTGGACAGTACGGCTACAGTGCTAGTATTGTAAGTCACCAACATGGTAGTCTGACTGGCCTCAGCTTTTTCTAAGCAGTCGCATAATCTGACGGGTCATTAGCAAAGATACTAGCTCCCTGCTTACAGGCAGAAATTCCGATTTTAGGCGGCATTTGTGCATATATTGGCAAATTATTGAAGAGTCACGCTTTCAATATGTTGTATCATAAGGAGGTAGCAGTTTGGGGTATGCTAACCAAAGTGCAGATCATTGTACCCCCATGCCAGTTACCTAAACCCCTCTTCATTGCTTGATAAAGTGGGTGCTAGACCCGCTTTGAAAATAGGCTATAGCCTGTATGAACGGCAAAGGGTTATCACTCCGTATATTGTAAAGTCCCTTGTTGCGGTACCTTGTCTGCCTTAGGCATAAAGAGTACTATCTAGGGGTATGCACGTGACGATGAGCGAGTGGGAGAGAAATCCGCCGATCGACCTGGAATTGCTCCACATCTGCCCAATCCCAACTTGTTCTTCTTTTTGGGTCTGCGGGATGGGAGTTCCAGAAGATTTAGAAATGGCCTTGCCCTCCTAGGCCGCGTACACGATCCAGATGGCGGGCGGATAAGCCATATCCCGTCCACCATAAGGAGGAACACCGAGCCGTCTCCCCACAGCCTTGAACTTTGATACATCACAAGTACTATAGCTGACGGACAACGGTCTGGCAGGCATTCTCCCTTAAGCTTTATTCTCTAACAAGTGGCAGGGCTGTCTAGTTAAGGACTTAAGACTGGAGTTACCAGGTTCTGGGATTCCCTCAGCGACTGATCTCGTCCCCCATACTTTTTGGCATCTGCAACAATGACTCTCAATACAAAGGCCAAGGGACCGTCAACAATTCAAGGATAGGATCAGGGCTGACGCAACCAGCCCAGAATGTACCTCGGGCACTGATCAATTGCCCTGGATGCTTGAGACGCGGATCAGGAACATGGTTGCAATTATTCACTCCGATTGGCGGCTGAGTTCACCATGATCCACGGCCGTTCCGAAGGACGGCTTTAGACCCATGGCTCTCCACGTTGGCGATTGCACTCACATGGGCAGGGACTCGCTAGTGATTGATGTGTACCCCAAGACCCTGACTTCGTCTGTATACATCACACAGAGAATGTTTCATGGGCTCATCTGGGGTAAATTGGCTACCAACATCATACAGTGGCTGGTGGTGCCATGACGGACGTGTCGAAGAAGGCTGGGTCCGTTCCCTCACTCTAACGGTTCGGCCTCATTTTTGGGAGCATCGATCAATTTCTGTCTTGGACTAAACCCCCGAGCCCGCCAGTGTTTCAAGATCCCTGCGGTTTAGAGTTAGGCGTCTGACACAGCAACCGACTCCGAAGCCAAACTTGCTCATGAAGCGGATTGATGTTGGTTCTGTTTCGCAATAGTAAGATGCCGCTTGCATCATCTGGGAACGCGTGCTCAACCCATTGCAAAACCTGGTTCATCGATGATCTCATCCGATCAACCCTCACGAACGGCATGTTGAACCCCTATGACTATCAGCATATCACCTCTTCGCGAGCGTCACCCATCGGCAGACATATAAAGGATCCTCGTGGTCCGCGTCCCCTACCGACTGTCAATCAGGCTTCATCGCTTCCTTTCCTTCAAACCTGACAGTTGCAGCTCTCAAGCTCCTCATCCTTTCTTTCCACAACACTTAGAACAACAATTACTGCAATGAAATTCCAACACGTCGCACCGGTGTGCCTTGCGGGCTGTGCCCTGGCCTTGCCGACTCCGGTCGAGAAGAGACAGGATCTCTCCGACCTCCTTCCCTTCCCTATCCCAAGCGGTCTAATTCCGACTGGCCTTTCCCTTCCGTCTGGCCTCTCCCTCCCCTCAGGCCTACCTAGCTTCTCTCTGCCTACGGATCTGTCCGACCTAGGCTTGAAGCGCCGGGACGTGCCTTTCTCTCTGCCCTCTGGTGCTGCACTCCCTACAGACTCGCAAGGACTGTCTCAGCTCCTGCCATCTGGTCTTCCCGACCTGTCCGGCCTCGGCATCACCCTTCCCACCGGACTTCCATCCGAGAAGCGCCAATTCGGCGGTGGTGAGGCCCCTGGAGGCGGATCCTCTGGTGGTCAATTATTCGGCGGTGGCTCGGGAGGCCCGTCCCTCGGCGGCGGCGGCGACTCCTCCGGCTCATCCTCCAGTCCCTTCGGAGGCCTATCCGGCTTGGGTGGTAGTGGCTCTTCCTCCTCCCAATCCGGCGGCTCGCCCTCACCCTCCAGCGGCTCATCCTCTGGCGGAATTCCCGACTTCCTCAGCGGCCTCGGAGGCTCCTCCAGCGAATCTTCTAGCTCTGCCCAGCCCTCCAGCGGCAGCCCTCTCGGCGGACTCTCCGGTATCTTTGGCGGGCTCGGAGGCGACTCTTCCCAGTCTTCTAGCAGTCCTTCCAGCTCCTCTCAACCCTCCAGCAGCGACCCTCTCAGCGGGCTCTCCGGTATCTTTGGCGGGCTCGGAAGCGACTCCTCCGAGTCTTCCAGCGGCCCCTCTAGCTCCTCCCAGCCCTCCAGTAGCGACCCCTTCGGCGGACTCTCCGGCATTTTGGGCTCTCTCGGGGGCGGCTCCAGCTCCTCCTCGTCCACCGGTGACTCCTCCGCCCCGGCTCAGCCCAGCGGCGACGCCCCCCAGCCCGAAGCAAGCGGCAGTGCCCCCCAGCCCAGCGCTGCCTTCCCCAGCATCAGCCTTCCTGAGCCCAGCAGCAGCTCTTCCGACTCCAGCGACAGCGACTCTTCATCCTCCGCATCGGACTCCGAGCCCTCTCTCAGCCTTCCGACTCCGTTGTCGTTCTCGCCCGGTGGTCTGAACCTCCCGGCTCCTTCGTCTAGTTCGGCTATTCCGTCCAGCTCGGCTGTTCCTACTAGTGGGGCTGTGCCGACTGCGCCGTCTTCGTTTAAGCAGTTCTTTGCTTAAAGGATCGACACGGCTTATTAACAAAATGGTGGTCAAAGTGGGTGGGTAGATGGATGAACGGGCGGGGGAATTAAGGTGATGAGAATGGATGCTGGATCTGGATGGATGTGATTTAGTTATGTCATGCTTGCTGGTCAGGATATGAGGATATGATTTTTTTCTATTGAGTAGTGCTGATGTTGAGATGGTTGTGGTGTGTACCTAGATTGTCAATGAGATGGATGGTCAGTTGGTCGTTTAAGTGTGGTTCATACCGTAGTAGTAATCTGTTCTGTGGATTGATCTTTGGTATTTCAAACATCTTTGTTTTAGGGAGGTAGCCAAGGTGGAGGAGTGATTAGAACCGTCCTGGCTGTCAAATAGGTGATATATATGCCATGCGCAATCCTCGGGTGGCATTGAACGTATCCAATTAGTTGCCTTAATATGTAAATCCAAACAGCATTCTATGATTTGGGATCTTGGAAGTACGATCAACATATTGAATATCGAAAGAATTAGTAGCGAAGGGACAAGCGCCAGGGAACCTCTGAAACCTGTCGAATGATGACAATATGATCTTCAACGACCAAGCACCGGAGACTTGGCCCTTAGATATTATGAAAATAATGTACGTATCATCATACTTTCGCCCAAATCTTCCCCTTGGACAGGTAAAGGCGAGCCAGAGCATAGAACAACGTCCCGCCCGCAAGCATCACACCGGTGAAGACCTGCAACTTCCAGTACTCGCCATCCGCCGCCGCAATCAAGGAACCACCGTTAGGGCTGCCTACAAGGGCCGAGATTGACATGAAAGCATACAGCGCTCCTGACCGTGTGCCAATCTCATGGATATTCGAGATCTGGGCGACCAAGGCTGGGCTGAGTGCCGTGTATGTGCCCGAGCTGAATCCAAACGCTGCAGCGAACACGATGGCCGTTGCGTTGGAGTGGCCGGGGAGCCATAGCCCAAGGACGAAGATTGTCGACAGGCCCGCTGCGCAGATTGAGATGTTGAAGTTGCCGAGTTTGTCTGCGGCGTAACCTGGTAGGATTCGGCCGATGCCACTACAGCGTTGGTCAGCATGCCCTTTTTTTTTTTTTTTTTTTTTTTTTTTTTTTTAGAATGACCGAGCTCTCCCAAGCTCGAGTTTACTTTCAGAGTTGACATCTTACCTTGCAGCATTGAATATCGAGACTAGATACCCGGCGAGACCCGTACTCATCCCCACATGCTCGCCGTATGTGACCATGTAGGTAATAGGAATAAACATCCCCATCGAATACAAGAAACTCGCCAGCGTCACCAGGACGAAGGGAACATCAGTAAACCCCTTGAAGTAACTAGTCAAAGTCAAAGCTGTGGGTTTCGGCCGCAAACGCGAGCGAACAGTCAAATTCGTCACAGCCAGCAATCCCAGCATCAAGAAGGCGCATATACGCATCGCCCAACCAAATCCATGTCGCGTGATGATGTGATCAACCAGGATCGGCATGATAACGCCACCTAGGCTTGAGCCGCTCGCGGTAATGCCCATTGCCAGAGCGCGCTTTTGGCGAAACCAGGTCGCCACGCAATTGAACGAGGAGTAGAGGACCATGCTTGCGCCAAGGGGGCTGCAGATCGATTGGGAAAGAATGAACTGGTAGTATTGTGAGGACAGCGAAGTCATCATTAGTCCGAATACGTGTAGCAAGGATCCTGTGAGGAGAAGCCATCGGGGTCCGTATGCGTCAAATAGCCGGCCAACAAAGGGGCCCTAGGGGGTGATTAGATGAGTCAGTTTGGAAATTTCTCAGTTATATTCTTCTTTTATTGAGAACTCATGGCAACAATAGAGCGTTAAAGGCGGATGAGAATATGTAACTTACCGTGATGAACATCATGAACATAGATATGGCAGGAATCCACGACACTGTGCTTGCCGACAAGGTTCGCAGCTGGTGGGTTTGATAGTATGCCTGGAAAATGCCCACGCCTGCGCAATACATAATGAATAAGCCAAAGTATTTCAAGAGTAGATATGTGGCTCACAATTTGTCCAGCCGAAGCTCGTAAATAGTCCAAAGAACGCTCCGACTACTACAAGCCATGCACGGAGACCGCCGTCTGGGAAGTCATTCGACTTTGTCTGTGAAGGGCCTGTGTCCTGGCGTTCCTTCTCGTCGGTACCGTCTTGTGTGTCCATCCTGGCAGCGATGAAAGATTTCAGTGGGTGGATTGAATGATTTGGCAAGTTAATTGATATGGAAATGTGGAATCAAAGACGAGGAACCTTGATCCGGATTCGTTTTGTGCTTGTACTTGCGTCAGGTATTTATATTACTGCAATGAAGCTGTGAGTTATTGATTTACTTCTATATCAATCAGAGACTAGATCTAATCAAGTATAGTCTGTGGGGAAGGCGATGGATTCTAAGCAAGCTGATTGGATCGGAGGTCCGCGGTGGTCCGAGTGACCAGGGACATCAGCATATTGAGTCATCGATAACATCAATAATTATCCACGTCCTCCCCACAAGCAACTTTCCGTGCACCAAGAGCTTGTTTATGTACCTAGAGATGCGCTCGCTTAAGCGGCCAATCCCTGACCAGGCCGTAGGGCCGACAAAACGAAGTGCTTGGCAACAGCCAGCGTCATGTGAGTTCTGCCGGCTCAAGAAGATCCGATGTGACAAGCAACGCCCTTGCTCCAGTTGCGTAGCTAGAGATACAACCTGTGAATATGTTTCATGTAAGCTGAGTTACAATGTTGCTTATGCTTGGAAGTTGACCCACGCAGTGGCAGGAGGGACCCTGCATCCAGCGGTCCAAACAGGTGTCAATGATAGTGCTCCGGCTACGTACATAGGCACTCCGTCGTTAGAAAGGTCTGCCCTCAATAACTACGTGATTTGACCAATTGCGCTAATTCTCACTCAGAGATATCCAGGAGGTTAAGGAGCGCTTGAAGAGGGTAGAACAACTGTTGCTGGAACGTCAGAGCCCACTCCAAGGCTCAAATCTGGGGGACGTAGATTCTCTGGTTATTACTCCCCAGCCTGAATCCAAGCCAGTATTGCGTAATGTTAACCACGAGGAGTGGGACAATCTGGAATCCATTGCAGCGTCCCCGCAGACTGAAGAATTGAAGGATTCGAAAACTGAAAACAAAAGTCTACAGAGCCAAGCACCCTCAGCAATAACGCAGGAGTGCGGTATAGATCGGCAGCTCCCTCCGGTTGACACAGCTAAGGCACTGCTTGAACACTACGTTCAAGGAGTAGACTATTTGGGTCGTGTAGTCCATGCCCCATCGGCACGCAGTCTCCTTGAAAGTGTATATTCTCAGCTGTCACAGTCAACCAGTCCTCCCGCCGAAAGTATCATATTCCTTCTAGCCATATTTGCTTCCGCGTCATTCTATCTAGAATGTGGACAGCTCCATCTATCATCTGACGGGCTACACCTGCACGCAGGACAATCCCACCGTTGGAAAGAGACCACTCTTCAGCACATTTTGCAAATGGATCAGCTTTTCTCGTGCTCAATGATGTCATTGCAATCCGCTTTGATCATCCTAGTCCTTCTTTGGGATTCAGAAGGGCAATCAAAAAGATTTCATACTCTGAAAAGCCTCGCGTATGCGAAGGCAATTCAAATGGGGATGCATAATGTAGATGCAGGATCGTCAGACGTTGGGCAAGATCTCCTCGAACAGGAGATGAAGCGCCGTTTATGGTGGCACCTCACTTGTACAGATTGGTTAGTTATATGCATTCCTTCAAAAGCAGACTGAATCTTTATGACTCACCATACTACTCACATCTCAGGCTACTTGGAAGCGCACCCGGCCCACAGCAGGGTATTTACATGATCAGCCCTCACCATACGACGGTCAAGTATCCTGCCAATATCGAAGACGAAGATCTGACCGAAGAGGGTATTCATCGACACCCGAAACCCGACCGTCACCCAACATCGATGTCATTCTTCCTCTGTCGTCTCAAATTCGCCCAACTCTGTCGCGAATCCATGGACGCAATTCAGCATGCAAAGACTATACAACCATCACAACTCATATACCCGCTCATACTGGAAATAAGCGACAAGTACATGTCTTTCCTCAGGGAGCTACCGTGGTTCTTCCGTCTTGAAGACGAAGAAGACGAGGCGAAACGTACAGACTTGACCAAGAAGCAGCCCTACATCTCGCATCAGCGCGCTGTGCTTCTCTATGGCATTTACTCACGCCTGGGTCGCCTCCACCGCCCGTTCGTCACCAAAGGTATCGCCGACCCTGGCTTTGCAGGTTCATACAATATCGGTATCGAGTGCGCGGAGAGACTCCTACGGATCCGTCGCATGACGGCGGTCCACGGGAGTCAGCTGCTTGACATATTCGGCCGCTCGCAGAGTGTTGACCAGCATACTTTCAATGCTATGCTGCTGCTCACAATAGATGTGATGGCGCATCCGAACTCGCCTGATTCAGAGCGCCGCAGAGCGGACGTTATTGAGATATGCCACATCTTGCAAGATAAGCATGTAAGGTTGGGCCAGCCTGCGAATGGAATTAGTCGAGCCGTGCAAATGCTGTTGGATATCGTGCGAAATTCGAACAGGCCCCACATCAAGGACAAAGATCGTTTTGACAGCACCGGTCAGGTTGGCTCAAATACTGCGCAAAGTATGGATAGTCTGGTGGTTCCGGATCAATGCACGATGGCATCGGAAGCATCGTATCAAACGGCGTGGATTGACGAGTTCCTTTCAATATCTGATGATCAAGATATGGACACCCTTTTCGATGAGCTCTGGGGATCTTACTCAGAGACGAGCATTCCATCTCGGGAGGGCTTCTTGAACCGGGAGGGGCTATCCTAGTGGCTTTGATGGGGCACGTCGTCGTATAAGGATATTAGTGTTATGTTAAGAGAGGACAAACTCGAGGCTACTTGAGATACAGGCATAATTGACTTGTACTCGCTTATCAGACCAAAGCGGCCAAAGTCCTCTTCACAGCGCCAAGAGCCCTGACCTACAGACCTAGTCCGTGCAGGTGTCTTGACCCAAACCCACCAATAGCACCTCCAATCCTCCGCACATGAACCCTGCATAGGCCGTATCATGGTCACAAGAAGCGAGATTCATGCAGGCCTGTGCATGAATATGTAGGACAGAATGACCCTAGTGACCAATCATATCACAGATACAGTAGCACAAGCATGCATGTCAACCTCAGCACAGGCCAGGAACTAATGCACGGTGTTGCAGGACGATGGCTCTAAAATGTAGATCATCACGTGGTGTGTCCAATCATATCCATGGTCACCATCTACAATTGACCCACAGGATATCTGGGGGTGATTAGACTTGTCCGGGCCTGGATTTCTGATATTTTCCGGGGGGGG